GAGTGTATTTTACTAAAATACCATCTTTAACAAGATCATATGCCTTGCACATGATTAATTCTATTAATTATTTAACGGAATTTGACAGAAAAGACGAGATTGCACCCTTTTAAATAGTTTGGAGTTCGTTTCGTAAAAAAAAAAAGAAAATTTAGGGATGAAATTGTCACGTTTTAAAAAATTTGGAGACCATTTGTACAAATTACTCTTAATTTAAAATAAAAGACTCATGAGTAATATATTTTAATATTTATTTTGATATATTATTTTCTTAGTTTTTCTTAATCAATCACGATTAATTAAATTTAAATTTTCAATTAAACTCCACTAATGACGGCCCTCTTTTAGGTCGTTACAACTAATGATAATAATTTTTTTTGTTCCCCTTAACATCTTATATAGCTTTAAATATGCTTCATTAAATTACTTTTTAAAATTTATCACATTGTGTATCGACATTGTCACTACCTAAATATTTTTTTCATACACTATAAAATTAGTACACCAGAGGAAATACTAAGGGCATGTTAAAATATCTTAAAAACTCAAAAAAAGACAACTCAAGTTTTAACTTTATTCAAGTTCACGTTTTTTTAAGTTTCAACTTTATTCAATTTTACTCAACTTTATTCAAGTTATAACTTCAACTCAAGTTATAACTCAAATTCAACTCAAAAACTATACTCAAATTATACTCCAAACGAACAACTCCTAAGTTGTCCCACATCAAATCTCAAACTTTGATTTTTCTCAAAATTTTTGATACTTTAAATCTTGTATAAGATTAAATCATGGTGCATACCAATTAAATTTCTCCTAAACCTTCCATATCTTTTGTTTCATTTCTTCTAGAACAATCAAAAACATTTTTTTGATCATGGATCTGCTAATAGAAATTCAATGAGTTATCTTAGCATTCAATGTGTACTCCTGGTTGGTGTATTCGTGTCATGATTCGAATCATAGTTCGTGGTTCGCTATAGTATTTTCTCACACAAAAAATACACATAAATCGAGAATAATTCTGAATCATGATTCTGAATCCATCCACTTCATTTTACCAAGTTCAATGTTAGTTAAATTAGTCAACATTTATAAGTGACCTTATAAATATATATATTTAAAACAATTTCTTCTCTAATATATTTTCTCTTGAATATGTCCCTAGTGCTGAAACTTTGGACGGGCCGCCCGTGACCACCGAAAAGTCTGAATTTTTGCCCGATGACCGAACCCGATATGCCCAAAAATTCGGGCTGCCCGACCCGACCCAAAAATTCCCATGGACGGGCTTCGGGCAGAGGAAGCCTGCCCGTGCCCGGTCGGGCTGCCCGATGCCCGACCGGCTGCCCGAAATTTTTTTTTTTTTATATTATATTTTTATGTTGTTGAAATAAGTATTTGTATAATTACAATGTGTAATTGTGTATATTACAATTTAAAATATGAAATGAACACACGACATGAACGAACTATATAAAAAAAATGACTTCTTCATTGATTTTTAAATTTGTAATTTATGATTGCCTCATTAAAAACCTTACCAAGAAAAACCCAATTGGGATAAAAACTTGGTAAGGAAAAAAGAGTGCAATCATTGTGGGACGAATTACAAATTTGATGAACTTACAAAGTCTATACAAGATTACAAATTACAATAAACACTATACAAATTAGAAATTACAAAGTAAATAAATATTTACAAAGAAATTATCAAGATGAAGCAGAAGGATCATCTTGAAAATTAAAAGTTAATCTATTAAATTCGTCGATCCATTCTTGGTTTGCCGGTGAGATTGTATCGTGTAAGCGTTGGTCGGAACAGTCCCAATCCTTGATGCACACCAAAGCTTCGACAATATCCTGCTGCAATGCGTTTCTTGGTTCTTCAAGTATTCGGCCGGTTGTATTGAATGCTTGTTCGGCTGCAACAGTGGAGACCGGGATTGAAAAAATATCCATTGCCAGTCGTGTTAGGATCGGCCAAGTTAATGCTCATGCCCTCCACCACTCAACCAAATCAAACACCTCACTACTGTCTACAACTAAGCCCTCACTCAGGTACGCCATTAACTCGTTGAATCTGCCGCCACCTCTTGATGAAGATCCACTTCCACTCTCAGATTCTTCTTGACCTTGACTCGTCGTCGTCGTCTTCTTCTTCTTCTTCTTAAACAACCCGAAGACATTCAAGAATGAATGCGGATTGTCGTCTCGTTGTTGCGGTTGTTCAACACGAGGTGTGTTTCTAAACCTACTTTCGTAAGAGATATATAGAGAATATATTTTTTCCTTTATAATAGGAAACTGGTCAGTAGTGTCTATAGCTAAAAATTCACCTAAGTTATCTAATCCACTTTCTAAACCTTCTAATTTTAATATAGGGTCAAAAA